GGGTAAATGAATAATCTCTTTTACAAAGGTCAGAACAATGCTGGTTCTATGAGGTGTAGGATAAAATGTCCCACATGCCTAACTTTTCCAAACTAACATCAACCACTCCTCCTCCCCCAGTCCTGTCCCTCCCATCTCTGGTTCCATAATTTGCTGCAGTGTCTCACAGAACTAACATGTCAGTAAGTGGCTCACACAGCTGTAGAGGCTGACAAGTCCCAAGTTCATGCGTCAGGCATGAGGCTAGAGGATTCTCCTGACTCATACAACTGAAGAGCCGGACAAACCCCGATCTGCAGGTCAGACTGACAGGCTGCTGACTCAAACTTGCTGAAGCTGCCAAATCAGGTCGGACAGCCTCCAGCTTAAGAACCACAGTTCAGATGATGAGGAGCCAGATATAGGACCCAGAGCAAGAGGGAGTTTTGCCAAAGCAATGCAGTGACTTGCTTACTATGGCCCCTCCAGCCACCATCCTCCATTTTGGGATGGACTGTAAATCCTAATCTCTATGCCTGTTTAGGGTGGGGAAGAATCCTGAGTTCTGCCTTCCTGGAGTGTATGACTCAAGTCACTGCCCTTGAGGGTATGTATGTCCATGTTTTGGGAAAGTTCTCACTCTGGTCCTGCATTTGGTCCATCATCATCTCACCCCTGGACTTGAGACACAGCAGCTGGTCATATGACCTGCTGATTTGAGTTCACCAGCCCTTGCAACCATGTAAGTTAGGAGAATTCTCCAGACCCCTTTCATAGACTCAGGACTGGCCAGCCTCCCAGCCGCTACCATCACATTTCCTTTGTAATTTCTGAGTTCTGTGAGACATTACAGAGAGATATGGAACTCTAAGGAGGGAGAGTACTGAGGGGAAGAGGAGGAGCTGATGTCAGAGATGATAGAGTGGCATGGCAATTTGGAGAAGCTGGACATTCGGGACATCTTTAACCTCTGCCACATGGGGACCACCCTTGTGCTGATCCTTCTAGAAGAAATTATTTGGGCACATATTCTTACTTGAAACTCCCCTTATTTGAGAAAAGTGGTGCAAGGATGCGAATTGAATGAGTTTGTAAGGGTCATGACTAGTATAAAGGTGGTGACTTGAGTCATACCCTCTAATAAGACAGTGCTCAAGATACTTCCCACTCTAATTCAGCTTCTTTAATGGACAACTTACTCCTGTCTGGGACCATAACCACAGGCATATAAGCGAATATTTACCACACATCACAAAAAGGATAATTAAATCAAACACATAATGGAGGATAACTCCATCATCACATAACTGCTAAACCATGGAAAATCATGGCCCACCCAAGCAGACACATAATCATCACAGGTTTCATACACTTTATTTGCATTAGCAACAAGCTGCTCAATCCCTTTAGTATGATGCCACAAACTATTTGCATAGTCTCACCAAATCTTTGTATGGGAGTCACAAAGACTAAGGCTAGAAGGGTTATATTAAGTAATTCACTGCACAAGTGAAGTCACAAGTTACAATTCAGGATCATCAAGGATGTAGGATATAGTTTTGGGGCCAGGACAGTCTCTTCTCAGCATCTACTAGGCCCTGATCCTCTTGTCCTTAGGCCTCTTGGGCCTCTAGGGTAGGCACAGCCTCTGCCCTGCTCAGGCAAATGCTAAAAAGCACTTTAGCGCCACTGACAAGTGCCCAGAGGAACCTCACGCCAGCAGCAAGCCTCCGGCCCAAAGGCAGCTGTCTCACCTGGTGGTTTAGTGAGCTGGGCTCCACCAAACGTCAAGAAGCTGAGTCCTCTCCTGCCAGGCGCCTGGTTCTGCTGCCTCTGCTTCTCAATGTCCCTGATATTACTATTTTATTTCCTAGATCTGGGAGGCTTTGACTGAAAGTATTCTGGGGTCCAAAAGACACAGTCCACTCTGATCTCCTCTTCTTGGTGGTTGTGAGGTACCCATGACGACATCAAGAATGGTTCATTTAAATCCTAGGGGATGGCAAAAGTAATCCATCCCCTCATTAACATTCCATTCCATTCCACCTTATTTGCACTGTCCAACTTTTACAATGGTGCCATGTATCAGATTTGTATAGTCTCATCCATTTAGTGGGAATTACAGTGACTACAACAGGAAGGGCCATATTAAGTAACTCACTGTACTGCAGACGGTTAGGGTTGGAGAGTGGTTGTGAACACAAAAAGGTATAATGGGAGAGTTTGTGCTGGAATAGTTTTAAAGCCTGATTGTGGTAATTGCTCGATGAATCCATAAATGTAATAAAACTTCTTAGAATTAAACACTGAACAATGTTTAATGTAAAAACAAAAAAAAATCCAAATAAATTTAGTAATTAATAGTGATCTACTCATGTAATTTCACTAGTTTTAGTAATGAAATACAGCTATATAAGATGTTTTCTCTGTAATTAGTTGGGTGTAGGATACTAGCAAAGTCTCTGGACTATTTTTACAATTTCTTGTAAGCTTAAAATTATCTCAGATTATAAGTTTTATATAAGTAACTCTGAAAGCTTTTTCATCTCTTTGGTCATAAAAAAAAAACCTGGTTAAGCTATTTGTATATTTAAAATACTTGTTTTGAGGGGCGGGAAGGATTGCAAAAGGGGAGACTTTTGCTAAGGGGACAGTGAATTTAAGTTACTGGGATAACCTGGAAAGGAAAGTGATAATGGTTGTAAACTTGAAGACTGACCAATGCCATTGAAGTACCCATATAAAATTGTGGAACTGGTGTAAGTTTTCTTGTGGATAATTTTCAGTACACTTTTTAAAAATTCTATTTTCTTTTTACTAAGTAGCTAAGTTTCAATAGCTAGATTCCCAAATAAATTTAGAGTCAAAGAAATACAAAGATTAATCACATATCTGGGAGAGTCATGAAACACTCCTGCACTGTATAGAGTAAGAATTAGTAGTGAGTAAAGCAGTGTGCTTCTTTCAAATTGCAGAAGCCAACAGCAAGGCAGCTAGGCACAAAGTTCAGAGTATCCAGTCTGCAAATGCACAGCAGGTATTATGTGATATATGAGGTCAGACTTGTAATAAAAAGCACAGAAGCATTCATTTCCATAGTACTTCATTCACCTTAACTTCTCTGTCATTTCTGATATTTTGCTAATGATGCTCGCCATTTTAACATGGTCATACATTTTATTTTCTGTATCATTTTGTAACAAGAAGTCATGACAAGAATGTATTACAGGAATACTGTCATATTTGTGGACATTTTCAAGTTTTCCTTCAGTGTGACCTGTGACACTTACTGAGACTTAATTTTGGATAAAGAGTTTCCCGTGTTCATTGTATTTTTATCAGCTAGAAGCTCAGTGACAATATACGTTAACTACCGATAATGACAGCTACCTAATCTCTGTATTTAGAGGCCTTATTGTGGGATACACACACATTCTATGTTCAGATAATTTTTGTCTGAAAGATGTCCAAATTAAATGGAGTTTTCTCCTTTATGTTTCTCATTGACAGAAAATGTGAGGTAATGATCATGGAAGGCACTACCACATTCACTGCACAGAAGAGGTTTTGCTTCTGGGCAGTTTCTCATCTCCTGCAGGTGCATGTCTCCTGTTAGACCCACAATGTTACTCAGTCTGCTAGAAATCCACTGATGTTTAAAGAATGCTGCTATGTCAGAGATATTTCCACAGTCACTGTATTCACAGGGTTTTGTTTTCTGCAAGAGATCACTTGTATGTGATGAGCTTTGCCTGCCTGCTGATTGAACCTCTTCCTTGACTGGATTCTTGTGTGTGTACTCTTTTATGTTTAACAAGGTTTGACAAGTGGGAGAAAGACTTCTCACAGTCGCTGCATCCATATGGTCTCTCTCCTGTATGAGTTCTTTGATGGACATTGAGAACTGACTTTGTGGCAAAGGCTTTCCCACATTCATGGCACTCATATGGTTTCTCCCCTGTGTGAATTCTCTGATGGGTAATGAGAGCGTATTTGTGTGAATAAGGTTTTCCACACTCCGAACATATAAATGGACTATTCCCTGTATGACATCGCACATGTTGTACAAGACTTATCTTCTGGCTGAAAGTTTTACCACATTCACTGCATTCATAGGGTTTCTCTCCAGTATGAGTACGCTGATGTACAATAAGAGTACACTTTGTGGTAAAGCCTTTTCCACAGTCATTGCATATATAGGATTTCTCTCCTGTATGAGTTCGCTGATGGATAACGAGAGTACGTTTCACAGTGAAGCCTTTTCCACACTCATTGCATATGTAAGACTTTTCCCCTGTATGAGATCGCTGATGGACCATAAGATTGCTCTTCACGGTAAAGCCTTTTCCACATTCACTGCATATATAGGGTTTCTCTCCAGTATGAATGCGCTGGTGGACAACAAGATAGTGCTTCTTGATGAAGCATTTTCCACATTCACTGCATATATAGGGTTTCTCCCCTGTATGAGTTCGTTGATGTACAACGAGGTTACTCTTTACAGTGAAGTCTTTTCCACATACGTTGCATACATAAGGTTTCTCTCCAGAATGAGTTCGCTGATGTGCGATCAGATAGCGCTTCATCGTGAAGCCTTTTCCACATTCACTGCACACATAGGGTTTTTCTCCCACATGGGACTGCTGACATAGAAGGTGACTGCTCTTCACAGTGGAGTCTTTTCCATATTCACTAGCTGTGTAGTCTCTCTCTCCTGTATGAGTTTTCTGATGTTTAGTGGACATGAAATTTCTGGAGGATTTCCCACATACATGGGTTTCCTCTCCTGTACGAATTCTCTGAACGTGAATGAGTTGAGACTTCTGGATGCAGACTGTCCCACATTCAACATATGCATGGGGTTTTTCTATGTTGTGACTTCTCTGATGCTTAAAGACGTGGAGGTTAGTGCTGAGACCGTATTTGTGCGAATAATGTTTTCCATACTCAGGACATACAAATGGAGTATTTCCTGTATGACATCGCTCATGTTTTACAAGATTTATCTTCTGGTTGAAAGCTTTACCACATTCACTGCATTCATAGGGTTTCTCTCCAGTATGAGTACGCTGATGTACAACAAGAGTACGCTTTGTGGTAAAGCCTTTTCCACATTCATTGCATATATAGGATTTCTCTCCTGTATGAGTTCGCTGATGGATAACGAGAG